TGGTATCATATCTAATCAATCATTGCCAAGTCCAGTTCTTGAAGCTTTTCCCCATTGTTTTCTTCTATAAATTTTATAGTTTTAGATATTATATTTAGGCATTTTGTTCATTTCAAATTTTTTTATATAAGAGTTTAATTTTATTGTTTTGCATGTGAATATCCAGTTTACCCAGCACCATTTGTTGAAGAGACTATTATTTCCTATTGTGAGCGGTCTTGCCACCTGGTTGAAGATTATTTGATCATTTAGTGAGGGTTTCTTTCTGAGCTTTTTCTGTTCTGTTGCATCGCCTGTATTCCTGTCTGTTGGCCACTTTGATTGTTTTGTAGTCCATTTGAAGTGAGGAAGTCTGAGACCTCCAACTCCGTTCTTTTTCGGAATTGTTTTGGCTGTTTGGGATTCCTTGAGATTGCATATGAGTTTTAGGGTCAGTTTTTCTCTCTCTTCAAAATACCCATCAGTTTTGTTGGGATTACATTGACTCCATAGCTTGCTTTGGGTTACTGGACGTCTTAACCACATTAAGTCTTCAAATCCATGAACATGGGGTTCCTTGCATTTCCCTGTGTCTTTAATTTCTTTCGGTAATGTTTAATTTCGTTCCTAGCTTCCCTGCTGACTCAGGCAGGGAAGAATCTGCCTGCAGTGTGGGAGACCTGGGTTCAGTCCCTGGGTCGCTAAGATCTCTACCCACTCCAGTATTCTTACCTGGAGAATCCCATGGACATGAGAATCTGGTGAGCTGTAGTCCATGGGGTCACAAAGAGTCGAACATGTCTCAGCGACATGAATTCAAATTAGCTGTTTGCTTCCCAGGCAGCACTAGTGATAAAGAACCCACCTGCCAATACAGGAGACGAGAGAAACTCGGGTTCGGCCCCTGGGTTGGGAAGTTTCCCTGGAGGAAGGCATGGCAACCTGTTCCAGTATTCTTGCCTGGAGACGCCATGGACAGAGAAGCCTGGCAGGCTACCCTTCATAGCGTTGCAAAGAGTTGGAAATGCCTGAAGCGACTTAGCGCACACCCAGTGGTTATCGGTCTCCTGTCCAAGTGTTTCACTTTCTTGGTCAGGCCTGCTAAGCACTTTATTCTTTTTGTTGCTATTATAACTGGAATTGTTTTTTGAATTACCTTTTCAGTTTGTTCATCGTTAGCGTATACAAATGTGTCTTGTTTTTGTGTTCTGGTTTTGATATCCTGCAAGTTTGCTAAATTTATTTAGTGTGTTGTGTAATCTTTAGGATTTTCTATCATCTGCATTCAGATGATATTATTTCTTCCTTTTTATTTTGGATGCCTTTTACTCCTTGCTCAAATGCTGAATCGATCTTAAGAGAAAATAATTTTTTTCTAATGGAATAGGTGATGCAGATTCATGAAGGTCATGATGGGAATTTTGGAATTTACCATTTGAATGCAAAGGAAAACCGCTTGGAAATTTTAACTGGGAAAAGAGAATTGCGTATGTTCTTCAGAGCGGGGGGGGGAAAAGCATCCTAAGTCCTAGCGGAGATGTGTTAGAAAGACTAGCAAAATGCAACGGGGTCATCCGAGAGATTAACAATTTTGGCTGGGAGAAGGGGGTGAATGGTAGGTGTATAGGTGGAGAAAAATGAATGGGATTAAGTATTTAGGAGTTGGAAATAACAGGATTGTATGGTGAATTGTACGTTAGGATAAGAAGGAGGAACAAGGCAGAAGAGGAAAATTTTCTTACCACCTTTTGGTTCTCTTTAGTTTTATAACACATATTGTGACATAGATATTTTTGTATGCAGTGTTTGAGATGATTGGGAAACAGTTAGCTGGAGATGCTGCAAGGGGAATTATGTGCAAATCTGAATGTGGAGATACACAGTCAGTAAATAGATTTGACTCCACTTTGGGGGGAGTCCAGAACTAAGTCCTACAATTTTGGTGTATTGTATATGATCAGTTAATATTTATATAAAGATTTATCACAAATATTCAGCTTACATATTGTAATAGTTTAAAAATTAATTTTATCTTTCATGTTTTTCTTTTTACTATTATGTAAGTAGCATTTTATGGAAAGAAGGCCATTATTACTTTAATTGAACTGACAGTATCACTCATTTACATTGCCATTGTAGGTCATCCAGATCTCTTGATATGCTTGAATGTAGTAAAACCTGCTTTTTCCTCCCAAGTACATAAATGCACAGAAAATAGCCAAAAAGGCTACCCAAGTAAAATTCAATGTATTTTATAGTTTTCTGGGAATTGGGGGGTGGGGAAAGCAGGGTAGGGAGTGAAATTTGATGTGACTAGCCACTCAAGGATAAAGATAAAGCTTTTTTCAAGAGTCTGATAATCTTTGATGTGCTGTTATAACTTTGTAAGGAAAACATGTCCTGGATTGGAGAGAAATAGAGAAACATATAGAGGAATGGGGGAAAGGAAAGCAGGTAAAAGGAAGATGGAGAAGGAGAAGGAGGAATGTGGGGAGTGAGTTTCCCTCCCCTAAGGGGGAGGTTCTGAATAGAGCGTTAAATGAAATCTACTTTTGATCCATTTGAACCATGAGCTTCAGAATACATAATTACTTTCCTCTGAAAACGAATGCTACATCACAGCTCTGTTACTTAAAGTGCTGTTCTAACGAGCAGTAGGCACACTAGCTAAAGAGGAATTTTATTTTTCTCATTGCACCACTGTGTTAAGGTGGAAGTTTGCAAGACTGGTCTGCTTCTGGTTCCAGTTCTGTGATAACTGGGTTTATGACCCTAGGAAGTCGTTTGCCTTCCGTGAGCCTCAGTTTACTCATCTGCCAAACGATGGAGCTGGACAAAGCGATCTGTGAAGCTCCTTCCACTCTAATGTTCTGTATTTCTTTGAAATCTGTTTTGCACTAAGTGTGGCAATGGTTTCCCATTGTTTAAAAACACACACACAAATATGTCTTTGAAATGTGTAGTAACATTCTACGATACTTGAATTAGTACAGAAATTATTTTGTGTAATTTGTCATTCTAACTACATGCTGCTCTTTGAGATTTTAGGGACTGTTTGAAATTCTATTATTATTAGTTTCATTTAAAAGTTGCCACCTTTAAATAATTTCTTTGCTGTGATCTTAAGAGTTCACTGAGGAAGAGTTTTTGTGGGAGTGTGTGAAATAATTCCCAGGCTTTTTACCACTAGTGTTTTTTGGAACCTCAGGCTGTTTCTTAAAGTCCATAACTTATAGCCAGAATATCTTTTTTTAAGAACTCTTTATTTCCTTAGTGTTTTCATTGAAAATCTTTACAGATTTTGCTTTGGCTATTGAGCTAAGCTATGAAAGGATATTTGCAGTGTAAATATCCTAACAGAATCGTGTGATATTGAAAAGAAAAGTAATGCCCTATGTATGTCAGACATACGTCAGAGGTACCAGAGGGTTATACAAATAGTGTTATTTCTTTGTGTTTAGTCTTTATACTTTTTTTTTTTTTTTTGGTGTAGTTTAATGTGTAAAGAATAGAGAGTAGCAGGAATAAGGTCTAGACTTCAAGAAAAGAATGAAATTTGGGATCCTGTATTAAATTGCTTATGTGCTCATGGTTTTAATACTGAGGAGCTTTGATCATACTATTTTATAGAAGAATATTTTCATAGTGGAGCACAGTTAGAGCCAAAGTTACTAAATGGTAGCAAAGGATATGTACAGAGAGGAAGAACATCTTTTATTCTCCATGTTCTAACCCACAAATTACTTCCTAGACATGTTTTCCAGTCCTTTCACAAGTTGAGAAATCTTGTTTTATTTATAGGGCGTATAAAATTTTATCACATGAAAGTCTTCCAAAGGTTGTTGGCTAGCCATCACCAAGTAAATTTTTAAGCACCATTTTCATCCTGGTAAAGAAAACTTAAGGAAAAGTTTAAACTTGTGTTTGTTAAATTTTAAAATTTCCTTCAAAGTTTGAACAGAATGAATATTTATTATACATTAGTGGATCTTAAGCAAGTGTTGAGGTTTATTGGTTGATACTTTTAAAACCTAGAGAACTTTCAGCAGACTACCCTCCAACCCCTCATATATTTTTCCGTAGATAGTTTAAATTTGTCCTAAGACGCCTGTTCAGGCAGGATAGCGCTCCCCTGATGGTGCAGCAGTGTAGAGCCCACATGCGGTGCAGGAGCCGCAGAGGATGCGGGCTCCGCCCCTGGGCCAGGAAGGTCCCCTGCAGGGACCTGCTGCCCACTGCAGCACTTCTGCCCGAAAAGTCGCGTGGGCTGAGGAGCCTGGCGGGTCGCAGAGTCGGGCACGGCTGCGCATGCACGCGCAGCCTTCTCCTTCTACAACGAAAAACACATCAACAGAATTGAACATGATATCAGTTGAATTTCATCGTCTAGAATATCCAAACATCCTTTTGGGGTTACCCATATAAGAATCCTCCTGCCATTGCAGGAAATGCCCAGAGAGACAGGTTCAATCCCTGGGTCGGTAAGATGCCCTGGAGTAGGAAATGGCAACCCACTTCAGTATTGGCTGGAGTATTTCATGGGCAGAGGAAACTGGTGGGCTATAGTCCATGGGATTGCAAAAAGTCAGCCACAGCTGAGGGACTGTGCGTGTACATGTGTAAGTGTGTAGTGCCCTTGCCCTGCCAGCGTCTAGAAACGCCAACCCCTGATATTCAAGAATAAAAGCTGTGGGAGAAAGAATTGAGTATAATTTTAGTAACACCGACTCAGAATTCAGTGCAAAATTATTTTTATAATCAGGAATTCAACTGACCTCATTGTAAATCATTATAAATAGTACTTTAAGGGGCTAAAGTATTTGATGCAACTCTAAAAAATTAACTACATGATCATCTGCTTATAAGATCAAGTATTTTGTGATAGTCTGAGAATAATAGACAATTGCAACATCAAAAAAGTTTAGTTTCTGTGCTTTAAACAAATATTCCTTGTAAGTATTTGTATTGCAAATGAACTATTTACCAAATGTTAATAATCTATTATGTCTTGTTTTTTAAAGTGAATGAATTTTTAGCTTTTGAGGGTCCCATCTTGTTGGATATGAGAATTAAACATCTAATCAAAACAAATCAGTTAAGTCAAGCAACTGCTCTAGCAAAGCTGTGTTCTGACCATCCAGAGATTGGTACAAAAGGTAGTTTTAAGCAAACTTACCTTGTCTGTCTTTGTACATCATCACCAAATGAAAAGTTAATCGAAGAGGTGAGTATGTTTTCTTTTGTTAGTATTTTTTTAAGTAAAGCTAATAATTTTTAATTATATTAGAATGTCTTTGACTTCCTTTTCTCTTAAATAGTGAAGAGCCATTGTTATCAGTGTTAAATTTTTGATGTGCTCTTAGATAGTGATTGTAAGCAGCTTTCAGGATTCTATGTAAACGTTTCACCTGGCTTCTACTTTAAATAAATTGGCTCTTTTTTATCAGAAAGATGGTGGTAGCTTAATTTAGCTAGCATTTTATATTAGTGTTCGGGCTTTAATTTCAGTTTTACCTGACTTCACAATGCTTGCAGATTTTATTTTAACTAAGTAACTTTAAAAAATTTATATGTCTTCTCCCTAATAATACTCTCTCTCTCTCCCTCTGTATACATATATATCTCTATATCTATCTATATATATTTTTATTTGCATAGTTTAAATTTGCATATTTAGTTTTTCTTTGTAAGACCAGTGATTGTGTTTTTTTCACTTCTAGTTGGCAGAAAGCATAGTATTCATGTATTTGTGTATTTTATACTACAGATTTCTAAAAGTAGAATCGTAATCCAAATGGAATTTTGCATCTTAGAGGACTCATAATTCCAAAATGAAGTTGAAGACAGGGTAGGAGAATTGAAAGTTGTTGATCAAAAAAGCATAATATGTATATAAAAAGAATACATAAAACTATAATACATTGAACAGTTATGTGTATATATGTCTTATATCTTTAATATAAGTATCCTTTGATTCTAGAGTGGTAGCGAATGGAGAACAAAGGGATTGTGGGACAGACTTTAGGATATGCAAAGGGAGAAGCTGAAATAAGAGAGAGAGGGGACAATTAACAGAGGTGCACAATCCCCTGAGTAGACGGAGACTGTAGTCAGAATCCAGAAGAAAGATAACCTCTGACAGAAAGCTAAATGCCCATGTGAGGTTAAAGGTTGGAATTATAATGGTGATTGTGTGATTTTTCTTGAGAATAGAAAATAAAGAGGAAGATGGTAGCCTTGGACCAAGATGAGAAGCCTGTTGTATATGTTTTGGATAATGAGGATCCTGGGAAGAGTGATGCAGTTTCTAGACGGATGAAGTAGAGCCAAGGGCTCTGGCTTAGGAGATGTCATTAGTTTGGATATTAGCTATTTTTCTCTTTAGTTTTCTCTTTTATCTCAGGTAATGGCTTTTTCATCGCTGTAATAGGAGCTAAATAGAGGATTGAAGTTTTCTTATTGGTCAGGAATAACCCTGTAGAGAAGTTCATTGGCAGATGTATAAAGTTTCTTGAGATACAGCCTTTGAAATGTGTGTGACATTTTTAGTCCTTAAATAGTTATTATGATACTGCATGCTGTGTATTTTTCAGCTTCGTTTAAGTTTTCATTATCAGTTCAGTCCCAAGCCTTAATTAAGTCTGTCCGTCTGCTCATCCTTCCTTCAGCAGATTTTTATTAAGTAAATGAAAGGTGTCCTCTAAACACTGAGAGGGTTGTAAGTGAGTAAAGGGCGGACCCTTAGAAGCGTACCTTCTGGCAGGAAAGTATCTAAAGATAGGGTGGTTACATTAACTTTTAAAGTCCTGTTTGAAGTTGAAGACTGAATCTGTTATCTCCAGGAGAGTCTCTATTTCTAGCTGTCCTGAATAATCAAAAAAGATCTTGCAGTATTGAACCTAAATTCCCTCTTGGTTTAATTGTCCGCAGTTAAGTAACAGCAGCCCACCCTGCTGTGGGAGACCCTCAGAAAACTTCTCTCTGAGGACCCCGGGTATCTCTGATGTCATGTGAAGTTGTTTTTTCCTTCTCATTTTAAGCAGGTGGAACTAAGATGCTCCACGTTCTTTAAGCAGAGTACACAGAATCAGTTTCCCTACCCAGAAGCGAAACTAGATCAATACTGTAGAACAGAACAGGATATGTGTAAGTCTGACAACGCTCCTTGTTAGGAATCTCTTTTCACTTAGAGATTGTTTGACTATTCTTTTATTTTTCTATTACAAGCATATTGATTGTTCCAAGTGAAGTAGATTCTGTCATCCCTTCTGCCCCAAGGAAAGGAATCACTTTGGAGCGACTGCCCAGACATTGCCCGCTTCAGAGGAGGCACGCGCGCTCCCTCACAGGGCCCACTTCAAACATTTCCCTTACCCACCTGGTTCTTGTAAACGCTTGAGGGTTTTACCCGTTCTTTAGAGTAGGTGGCAATAGATGCTAGAAGGAGTCAGCCATGACCTGGACCTTTAGTCTTTATCCATGAGCCTGTGAGCAAGGGTTGACTGTTTCTCAGGACCCTTGCACTGTGACAGAAACAACAGCTAGCCCTGGTGGATGGCCGAGGAGTGAGGCTGAGAGACGAGTGTTTATCTGGCTTCTCCATGAGGGCTGGGCTTTGGCCTGGGTTCTTGGCGTCAGTATAAAAATGAAGTCAGCAGTGTTTATTTTATATTCAGTATTTCTCCTGGTTTTGTTGTCAAAATAAACAGGAAAGTAAAATCTACTTTGTCTCTGTTATTTCCCATCTGACCCAAGTAATCATTAAATGTGAAATTTTTTATTTCTAATATTTTTACATATAAACATTCTTTAAACATACACACACCCTGGCTGATAGGGACTTGTCCTGCTCTTAGTATGGACATCTTTCCATGCCATTTCTTATAAACAACCTCATTCCTTCTCATGGCTGCATAATTCCATAGTATAGATTTTTGATTAATATTTTAGTCAAACTAGAGGACATTTAAATTGTTGCCTGGTACTTATTGATACATCCTTTCATTCTTCTTGGGGGTACATTGGTGGGGTAAATTTCTATAAGTAGAATTGCTGAATCAAAGAACCTACACATCTTAAATCGGGCCATGCTACCATCCCCCCCCAAAAAAGGTTATGAGTTATGCTCCCATAAACAGTTATGAAATTTTTTATTCCCTAACACTATAGATTATTTGTCTTTTAAATCTAGCCCAAGATGTTGCTACTCTGAGAGTTTAAAAAAAAGAAAAGTAGCTAATTATTTTAGTGTGACAGGTTTACGATTTAAGTCCTTTTCTGAATGGAGGAAAGCAATTTTATTTTGATAAGCAAAAAGCTTCTCCTGAAATGTATTCAAGCCCATACATTTTAAAAGTGCACTTGGTAAATGTATGTAAAATATGAAGTGTTCTATACTTTTTTAATATCTGGCAGAAGGCTATATTAAAACATAAAAGTCATTATTTGCACTTTTGAAATGATTTTTACACTTTACAAAGGGATTTAGCAAAGTATATCTTTAACAAACAAATTGTGCTAATTGACTTCCAGTGTTTTATTCATATTTTTAAATTTTCTAGTGTTAAATTTTTGCTCATTTTTTCAAAGCAATACAGAATAGATATCTGTAACGTACAAATAGTCCCTATATTGGTAGTATATTGATAATCCTTACTTCATGCTGCCTTGGATTATAAAATATAGTTCTTGCTCATTGATGGCTAAAGTTGACCTATATTTCACTTGCACAGTTTTAATTCAGCCATTCATTAGGTTTCAGTTTCTCTATAGTGTCCTATTTTTTTTCTTTTTTTTTTTTTGATTTGTTGAAGAATATACATTTATTGCAGTATAAATATGAAATACTTTTATTTTCCAAGTCTAAATATTTAACCGTGCTATGTGAAATCCCTGTTAGCATCCCTTAACAATACCTTGAATAAATTCTGTAGCTTTCTTTTTTTTTTTTCTTGTTTTCGCTTTTTTTTTTTCCATTTATTTTTATTAGTTGGAGGCTAATTACTTTACATCATTGCAGTGGTTTTTGTCATACATTGAAATGAATTAGCCATGGATTTACATGTATTCCCCATCCCGGTCCCCCCTCCCCCTATTTTTTTTTTTTCAAGTGGGGTATCTATATTAGGGAAATGAGTAGTGCATAGTAAAAATTGCTTCCTTAGCATACCAATAAAAAGTGAAATATAATTGAATATAGCAGATGTTTCAGTTAGTATGTTGTATATTTGTGGACTTATAGGAGCTCCCTTTGTTGGTTTTGTATTTTAGATATAAATATATGTTTTATTATTAAGTGTAAGCTAATATAGGTAACATCATTGGAAAAACTAATTTCTTATATATAATGTACATATTTTGCATTACTTAAGCATTCAGTAAGAACACCTTAGGTTTTAAAAAACATGAAAATTTGATTCAAAATAAATTAGACTTTCGTGATGTAAGAATTTTTTAAAACTTGGACTTGTAAACTCAGCATTGATCAACGAGACCCTCAGTGCGCTTATGCGATATGCTTATGTGGAAGCCTAGAAGAAGCGCAGACTCTGAAGCTCGATCTGGGCTGGAGTCTTGACTCTGCCGATTAAGCATGCAGCTTTGAGCAAGCAACTGAACTCTCTGCGCCTTGTCTCTAAAAGAAGCAGTAGTCGGTGTACCAGGCAGGGCGCTGCACTGGGTTAGCAGTGCTTCTCCTGAAGAAGCTGACACGAACGAGTAGTAGAGTAGCTGCTATTTGTTGTTATTACTGACGTCTTACGTGTAACATGTTTCTAATGCCTGTCTAGTAGAAAAATTAAGATTAATAATTACATACACGTATAAAATGTCTAACAATACATTTAACTTATTGTAGGTATTTGAAAATACTAATTATATAAATATATATTGTTCAGCCCTTTTTGTGTTTGTTTATGTAGGGTTCCTTATAGATAAAGATCTGTACAAAAGAGGCAGACACAGGAATAATGGAAAATGTACTGTGCCAGAGAGTTCCAGGATTTGGGTTTTAGTCATAACTCTTACACTAACTTCATATTTACTTTAAGAAGTGATTGTTGTTAAACACATAGATTCAGAGTTGGGCCTTAGTGTTTCCTAGCTCGATTTAATACGTAAAATGGAACTTCTGAATCTGTCCCCTTGCAGTCTTTATCCTTGTTGTCAAAGACCAAACTTTAGCATTACCCCATTTCCATTCAGACACTTGTTTAATTCTAAACACCTTACATTTTACACACACACACACACACACACACACACACTTTTCCTGTACTCAGAAATTAATGAGGAGACACAGAGATTAACAGGGAGATGTATAGTTAGCTCTGTGGTACATGGGTGCTAATGGTTTGTATTGATCTTCAATTCTTTTTGCCATTTGACAGTTGTACCATGTTAATTCTGTGGAACACCAGTGATCTGTGATTGTGTGCTCTTTGTCACATCTTTATCTTAAAGCAAATCCTTATAGAGATCATACATTCTGATTGTTTATTGTAGTAAATCATTGTAGTAGAGATAATAAATTTTAATTTTTTAAAAATAAGCAATAGATGTAAGTGCATAATTAAATGAAGCAAGTTGCCTTCATCTAGGTTATACTTATGCATGCATGACTTGACAAGCTTTGAGATGGAATGAATATATATGAAAAGAAAAATAATGGAGATTTATAGAAAACTGAGGTGAGCTTCATTTAAAAGTGGTATAGCTACATAAAATGTTTCATGTTTTATTTTATTCCCTGCAATGAACAGACACTTTGTTTCTTAGTCTATATCCAGTAAATGTTTCTGTCTTTTTGTTCATTCTAATGCTTTTTAAATTACTAGATAAACGGGAAAAAGTACAAGTAGCAGCTTTTCTTTTTCAGTATAATAGACCTGATTTAATGGGTAGAGGTTGCTTGTAATTAGCATTAGTTATTTACATATAAATGAATACTTGTAAAGGTCTTGAAGATCATTGGTTCTCTGACTTGAAGAAAGATTATTTCTTTAAACAGTAGCCCAATCATGACAAATTATGAATTGATAATGTATGAGTTAATGAGGTTTTACCAAAGAAAATGATCTGTACATACCTAATAAAAATTGTAAAGTATATTACTATATATTCTAACCTAAAATCATTTTATGGCATATTTCTGTATCCTTTCTCTGTAGATTTCAGAAGTTGATTGCAAAGATGCCCTAGAAATGATCTGTAACTTAGAATCTGAGGGTGATGAAAAAAGTGCTCTTGTCTTATGTACTGCATTTTTATCACGTCAGCTTCAACAGGGAGATATGTACTGTGCTTGGTGAGTTGATTTTCTTTTGAAAAGAGAAGGTTGTTAAATAAGATTACAGATAGGTTGTGCAGATAGCTTAAGAACATATTTTTTAAAATCTTTTTAGTGTTACCAAGACAAAAAAGCTTATTTTCAGATACTATATGCTGTGTAAACTGATTATCAAGTAGTTCATATTATAACTTAAAAAATTTTTTCTGTTAAGAGACCACACAATTCCTCAGTATACCAGTAATGATCATATAATGATCAGTTATGACTAGGAAAATTTTAAATGTTGGAAGATGAAAGAAGGGCTTATTTAATGCTACAATAAAAATGTTTTCAGATATGGAAGCCACCTTTAATGTATGTATTGTTCCTTTGCATATTGCACACTTTTTGCTATTAATGCATAACTAGGTGCTAGTCATTTACATGTAGAAATATAGTTCATTTACCCACTTACAAGGTGTCATTCTATTAATACTTCACTAAATTCTTCAATACACATTTCTTCATATGGTACATTCCCTAGTGTGCAAACCTGTTATATATATCATCCTTTGGGAGGATACAGATAGCAGGGATAATTACTTGAATTAAGTCAAAAAACTTAAGATCAGCTGTCTTAAGTTAGTGTTAGCTCACACTGACAATTTATCTGGTCAGTCAACTGTAGTGTTAGTCTTCAGTGTTGTACTTGCATTGTGAAAACACAAAAGAAAATTTAGTGTACAGCATTCTGAAATTTAAGAATATTTACCTGAACTGTGAGGGTGAGCTCATGGTAGGAAGTGGCAGTACGGAATTGAGTTGAAATAGAAAAATCAACTCGAAAGCCTGTAAGTAGTTCAGCTGGGGAGTTAAAAGTTTCCTGTGGATATGGGGCAAGGTGAAAGAAATGTTTGAAGAGGCTGATAGATAGGGTCAGTGATAATGATGTGTTAAATTAGAAGGGCAGTGAACCAAAAAGAATGTTAATTATCCTTTTCATGTATTAACTTTCAAGTTTCAGGAGAGATCAAAGTGGGGAAGTCTTAGAAAAAACTAAAGAGGTGAAAGTGGTCGAGACTAGAGAGACAGATTCTTGAAGTCCTCAATATGCAGGTTAAAATCCAGTAGATGAGCAAGTTTCTCAAGTGGATGGTGAAAAGGGCAAAGCTTCTAGGACTGGAAACTGAGGAGCTAATTGGAAAGGCCTATATGGAGGAGAAACTGTGGAGGACAGAGAGAAATAGGATGATAGGTAAAAGGATGGAAAATTTCTCAGTTCAGTAGGGTTATTTTCTATGAAAAACACAGTGTGATTGCATTTGGAATAAATTTCAAAGTTTATTTTTCAAAGTCTTTTTTTTTTTTCCACTGCGGTAGCACAGAGCAGTTATTTTCTTCTGGGTTCTGTGTCATCATCGATTCTTAACATTATCTAATAATAAATTATTAGAAGATAAAAATTAAATGCTTTTTAAAAATCATTTTGCCATTGATGCATTTTATATATACACATATTTTGCATTTCTTATTACTTTTAAAGTTCAGATGTGGTGTGTGTATCTTGTTTAAATGTCAGGTATGTATCTTATTTAAATGTCAGGTGCTTTCCTAGTAAAAGGTAGTGAGTGCTTCTTTGAGATTGAAAAATCTTAATAAAATGATAAATCATATCTTAATTTTATTTAATAAGTCTCTAGAAAATTGAGGGTCTTTTTCTTTTAAACTTCATTCCACATATAGCATTAGAATCTGAAACTAGTTTTAATTTCAAATGTAATTACTAGACAGACAAAGTTCATGATTTTACATTGCACCTCCAACTTACTTTTTTTTTTTTTTTCTTTTTAGGGAACTCACTCTCTTTTGGAGTAAATTACAGCAGAGAGTAGAACCATCTATTCAAGTGTACCTAGAAAGATGTCGTCAACTTTCTTTGCTAACCAAGACAGTATATCACATTTTCTTCCTGATTAAAGTTATTAATTCAGAGGTAAGAATGATCAAGGTATCTTAATTTCAGATGTGTAAATTACACATTTAATATGTGGACTTCAGTGACTTTTATTTCATTTAATGCTTTGAATATTGATTTTATTAGTCCTTAATTTTATTTCATACAGAGAAACTTAAAAATGCAAATGATAGCCAGGGGCTTGCTCTTAGCCTGAAGACAAGCACTGTATACATAATACTCATATTTTATCATGCCACAGTTTTTCTTCTAGGTGTTACACTGTTTTGATAATTTGGTTCTATATAAATTTAGAAAGTGTAAAAAGAAATACAGCTTCCTTTGCTTGCTGTCTGGCAGATTACACTATCTAAGATTCCTTCTACAAAAGACCCAGAAATACTTGATGAAATAAAACATTGTTCTTAGTGGTTAGCAGCTTAATTACAAGAATAGTGGGGAATTCCCTAGACTCAAAAAGAAGAGGAACCTAAAAACTGGAGCAGAAGCTTTGAGCTGAGGCCCGGGTTCTCCTGGCCTGCTGGGGAGTGGGGTGTGCTAGCACCTGGAGCAGCTGAGGGGTTTGAAGTTTTATATCCTCCCAGGGATAAGGTAAGATAGAGCATCTTGGGCCCTTTTTAAGTTGGGGATTTAGAACTGAGTTCCATGTCCCCCACCTCCTTTCCACTAACTTGTAAAGTACTATAATTTCATTGCAAAGTGAACTAGAAAAATATTACTTGAACATAGATGATGGTCGGAAACCTTGTCCAACTGGACTGTGGGTCAGAGAAGGAAAATGTTTTCCCTAATAAATTGTAACCATAGGTCTGCCTTCACACAGATTTAGGGTCCACATTTGCCCTACACTGTAACCAGGAATCCCCACATCAAGTGGGTGTCAGGGAAGAAGATCTTTTCCTCGCCCTTTCCTTCTTAGTTATGTTGGGTCTTCTAAGAATTAAACAGACGTGGGGCAGATTAACAGGAGAACACCAAGCAAAAGTTTAATAACATATATACTTGGGAGAGGCCCAAGAAAACTAAGTAGCTCGCCAAAATGGCCAAAATCCTCACCTTAAATACCGCTCTCAGTTAAAGACAAAGAGAGAATGTTGGGAGTAGCAGTTTGGGCCTTTGGAGCAAAAGGAGGGAGTTCACATGGAAATGGAAGAGCCAGTGCTTGTTGGGTCCTGCAGAAACAAGGAGACACAGTGGACTTTGATCTCCAGGCCCTACAGAGTTTCCTCCACTGTGCCCAACCCATGTTCTTTGCAGATATGTCTGGAAATAGCTCTGTTACAGGAACAGGCCCTTTTTCTAAATTCTTTTAGTCAATAAAGAGGAGTTTTGGGGGGTAACAAGAAAAACCTCCTTAGTCTTCTGTTTTTTAAAAATAATCAGCCTAAAATAATCCTCCTGTCAAAGAAACACATTTTGGGGTGGTGGAGTTTGCTCCCCTACATAAGTAATATTTAAAAAGGTAAGGGTAAAGTCCTGGGCTGGTGAATGCCTGGGATCCCTGGCAGAAGCAAATGAAGAACTACTTTGGAGGGACATACCTTCAATACATGATTTCTTTGATAAAGCTCTTCTCAAGATAGGTTCACCATCAAGATTTACAATGAAAGTGTCAGCCGTGGGCAGTTTTTGCAGAGACAGCTAACAGCACAATTAAACTTTTTAAAGAATAAAAGGTATAAATAACATATATTTAAAGACATAAATAAGTTAACCATCACTATCTATTAAGCACACAAGACAGTCCAACGTGAATGAATTTCAGTAGACAAAACGATGGAATCATTTGCTTGATTCTTTAAATACAGTCTGATAAATCTATGAAATACATATATTTAAAGATATAAAATAAGGAATGAAAGTGTGAAAAAGAGAGGTCCTATAAAATGACCAAGCAGATTTTAAGAAGAGTCAAAAGAACTTTTAGAAATACAAAAACATAATCATAGACATGAAAACAAATTTAAGAGATGGATTAAACAGTAGATGAGACAAAATTCTAAAGTGCCGTGATAATAGAGATTGTATATGTGTTTCCATTCATTTACTAGCAAAAATCAGAATCCAGGTTTTACAAAACTAATTTCTTTTGTTATAGTAATCCTTGTGGGAATGCATTTGGTTTCCACTTTAAAAGTACACAAAGACAGTTTCCAAAGGTGCTGCCACTGCATGGGATGGGATGCCAAACAGGTCTTAGGGATCCTTGAAAACTAGGATGTAGCATGACATGAGTGTTTGTATGTATAATTTTGTTTTTGAAAGTAGGGACCAAAAGACATTCTTACTGTCTTTGATCTTTTAAGATCTGTATTTGGTCAGTAAATCTTACATGTATCTTTTGCTTTTCTTTTCCTCCTGAAATAATTTCTCTTCATTTTCAGGAGGAAAGAACAGGGATGAGCAGTAGGGGAAAGAACAGGAATGTTTGTCTGGCGTGCCCCTTTCCCCTCGGTACCTCAGAGCTCCGGGAGCTGTTGAGAGTTGTTGCCCAGCTACTGACATAATGACTTAGAATAATTATTTCCTTCTTAAACTGTAATTGAGATCTGTAAAGGAGATGGGGCAGGTCGCTTGGTTCGCCATTCGATTTGTTTTTTCCTAGACCCCTGCAGTCAAAGAGTTGGAAATATAAAGCCCTCTCCTGAGGGTCTCATATCTGCCGAGACGCATTGCCAGTTGCTCTGTGATACGTCTTTCTTGACTAGTGGGATATCGAGACTGCTGAGAGGGAAGGAGCATGTGGCCCAGCACAGTCCCTGGTGCAGAGTAGGTGCTGAGCGAAGGAAGAAGAGGCCCTAACCCGCTTGCCTGTTAGACTCGCAAGTGGCGTTGGCCAGACAGAGGTCCTAGTCACCAAAAAGACGTGAAACGCAGCATGAAGAAAAGGCGGTATTTTCTCCTCCGTTCACTCCTCACGAGGTGCCTCTGAGCGCCGCGCGTGTGATTTTTTTCCCACACTAAGCACTCCAGATGCCAGTCCAGCGCTCTGTAATTTAACTCAGTTCTGACGCTGTCCACCTAGCTCTCTCTCGACTCAGCTCTCAAGATAGTTGTCATATAACCAGTTCATGGATTGAATATTACCCGTAAACTTAACCTTCAGTCACACATATACCGGCCGACAAAAAGCTCACAAGAACAAGAACTTTACCCTGTTCTGTTGGCCTTCGTAGTTAAGGTTTCAGACTGACTGACAGCGTGAGGAGGCCAGTCCAGTTCCTCAGCCTGTTGCACTCGCCCTCCTCTTGGCCCACAGATCCAAGCTTCCCTTTTAGTGAAAGATTTTGTTTCCTTCTGAACCTGTGAAAATGCAAGCCCTCTCAGCTCTTGTGGACTTCTTTTGACTTCCCTGCCCTCTGGCCTAAAGCACACATTTCATTCCCCCGAATGTGGCCACATCTTGTGACCGGCTTATTTCTCATTTATTTGTTCTCTTTTAGTCTCTTAGAACCCATTTTTATCTCTTCATATATTTTTCAAATGAGTCTTACCTTTGTTACTGCTATATTATCATAATAGTTCAAGATGCTAATTCAAAAGGATAAAAGGTTTGTTGTGTCTCCTGCTACTCCTAATTCTTAGGATGTTCCGGTCATAAGGTAGGTGACTTGGCGTTCAAATTTGGGCTTCCCTTGTGGCTCAGCTGGTAGAGAATCCTCCTGCAATGCAGGAGACCTGGGTTCAATCCCTGGGTTGAGAAGCTCCCCTAGAGAAGGGAAAGGCTACCCAACTCCAATATCCTGGCCTGGAGAATTCCATGCGCTATATAGGCCATGGGGTGGCAAAGAGTCAGACATGACTGAGCGACTTTCACTTCATTTCACTTCACTTCACTTTATGATTGAATTAGGATTCCCAGTATTTTAAAAAAAACTTTATTCTCAAATGTGAGAATCTCTTCTCATTGCTAATGAGTTAGGAATTATGGGGACATTCTCAGTTTTATAAGTAAACTAAGAGGGTTGTTGTTTCAGAAGGATTGTAAATACAAACTTAGGAAATGAAATTTGTGATAAAGTTAGCGACATGTCTTGATCACTTACTATGTTCCAAACATGATACTTTAGATGCATGATATCTATTATAATAATGTTCACAACAGTTTCATTCAGTTTAAGTGTTGTTTTGATCTCTTATTTTATATTGTGATATGAAAGACCAGAGAAGTTAGATAGCATCCAAGTTTACCTGGCCGTTACATGATTCTGTGCTCATGTCTCAGCTACCAGCGTTTATGTTTTTCTGCTGTTCTCTGTGGCTCATCTCACACACACACAGCCACAGTGCTTGGGAGGGGTTATTTTCATAGATGGGCTATTGCAAAATTTGAGAAAACAAACCTCAGTTTTAAAATTACTAAATTTACAAATCTGCGTTGATGAGTGTAAATTAAGGTAACATTTCTTGCTTGCTTCTTCACAGACTGAAGGAGCTGGACTTGCCACTTGTATAGAGTTATGCGTAAAAGCTCTTCGCCTGGAATCTTCAGAAAATACTGAAGTGAAAATATCTATCTGCAAGACCATTTCATGCTTGTTGCCTGATGATCTGGAAGTTAAACGTGCTTGTCAACTGAGTGAATTTCTTATTGAGCCTACAGTAGATGCATATTATGCTGTGGAAATGTTGTATAACCAGCCAGACCAGAAATATGATGAAGAGAATCTTCCAATACCAAATTCCCTACGCTGTGAGCTCTTACTTGTATTGAAAACTCAGTGGCCCTTTGATCCAGAATTCTGGGATTGGAAAACTTTAAAACGACAGTGTCTTGCATTAATGGGAGAAGAGGCATCCATCGTGTCTTCAATAGATGAATTAAATGACAGTGAGGTTTATGAGAAAGTAGCAGACTACCAGGAAGAGAGTAAAGACTCTTCTGTGAACGGTGGAATTGGTGCTAATTCTGGCCTCCTTAGAGACATTTGTGATGAAAAGCAGAAAAAGAGAGAGATAAAGCAGTTGAGAGAGAGGGGATTCATATCGGCTCGGTTCAGGAATTGGCAAGCCTACATGCAGTATTGTGTGCTGTGTGACAAAGAATTCCTCGGCCACCGAATCGTGCGGCACGCTCAGAAGCATTACAGAGACGGGGTTTACAGCTGCCCCATATGTGCAAAGAGCTTTAACTCTAAGGAGACCTTTGTCCCTCATGTCACGCTGCATGTTAAACAGTCGAGTAAAGAGAGACTGGCAGCTATGAAGCCACTGAGAAGGTTGGGAAGGCCCCCCAAGATCACAGCTGCCAGCGAGAACCAGAAGACACACGCTGTGGCCAAGCAGGAGCAGCGGCCGATCAAGAAGAACAGCCTCTATTCCACGGACTTCATCGTGTTTAACGACAACGACGGCTCGGACGACGGAGCCGACGACAGAGACAAGTCTTACGAGCCAGAGGCGGTCCCGGTCCAGAGACCAGCACCTGTTAACGAGTTCAACTGCCCTGTCACGTTTTGTAAAAAGGGCTTTAAGTACTTTAAAAATTTAATTGCTCATGTAAAGGGACATAAGGATAATGAAGATGCCAAGCGCTTTCTTGAAATGCAAAGCAAAAAAGTCATTTGCCAGTACTGCAGGCGGCATTTTGTAAGTGTTACTCACCTGAACGACCACTTGCAGATGCACTGCGGCAGCAAGCCGTACATCTGCATACAGATGAAGTGCAGGGCCGGCTTCAACAGCTACGCAGAGCTCTTAACCCACCGCAAGGAGCACCCGGTCTTCAGGGCGAAGTGCATGTTTCCTCGGTGTGGCCGGATTTTCTCAGAAGCTTATTTACTGTATGACCATGAAGCACAGCATTATAACACCTACACATGTAAGTTCACAGGTTGTGGTAAAGTTTACCGTTCTCAGAGTGAGCTTGAAAAGCATCTGGAAGATCACAATACTCCTGAAAAAGTGCTGCCTCCTGAAGACCAACTTAATTCAGCCAGAGATTCTGTTCAGCCTTCCAGAGTGAGTCAGAGTGCAGAAGGGAACTCTGAGAAAGAAAGATCCATGCTTCCTTCAGAAAATAGTGTTGAAAACACCATCCCAGCTGATAGAAGTGATGCTTGGGATAAAAGCAAGGCAGAATCACCTGTGACCAAACAAGACCAGATTTCTGCTTCGGAGCTCGGGCAGACGGATGGAGCACTGCCAAATGGTTTAGGAAACACGGCTACCACTCCTCTGCTTCAGGCCAGTGAAGTAGCCGTGTCCATTAAGGTGTCCCTCAATCAGCGGATCGAGGAGAACTTCGGGAAGCAAGAAAACTCAGCTATGGAAAGCGCTGGTGAATCACTGGTCACCAACTTACATACACCAGTTGAAAATGCTTGTAATGATTTGTGTCACACAGATTTCCAGGAGAGAAAGGAACAGGATTGTTTTAATGAAACCCAGATTACTCAGAATTCTTTAGTGGCCTCAGAAGCCCTCAAGATAGAGGGCATAACCACACAAAACTTAGAAAGACAAGTGAGCAATCTGATGACCTTTTCTGTGCAAAACCAGGCAGGGTTTCAAAACAGTTTACCAACTCCCAAGTTTGAATGTGGAGGTAATGTTAAAACATCATCCAGTCTTTATAATTTACCTCTGAAGACGCTGGAAAGTATCACATTTGTTCCACCACAGCCCAACCTCACTACTTCTTTAGGAACTCCATCAGTGCCTACAAAAGCGCCAGTTCAGAAATTCAGTTGCCAGGTTGAGGGATGTACTCGAACTTATAACTCTTCACAGAGTATTGGGAAACACATGAAGACGGCACACCCCGACCAGTATGCAGCATTCAAAATGCAACGCAAGAGCAAAAGGGGTCAGAAAGCTAACAATTTAAATACACCAAATAATGGAAAGTTTGTTTATTTTTTGCCATCGCAGGTGAGCAGCTCTAGTAACGCATTTTTTACACCACAGACCAAAGCCAGCGGGACTCCTGCCTGCTCTGATCAGGTGCAGCATGTCACATCACCCATTCTCCCAGCTCATTTAGCGAGTGTGTCTGCTCCACTGTTGCCCTCGGTGGAAAGTGTCATAAATCCAAATATACCTTCTCAGGATAAGAATGAACAAGGTGGTGGTCTGTTATGTTCCCAGATGGGGAATTTATCTAGCACCACCTTGCCAGCACAAATGGAAGACCTAACCAAAACAGTTTTGCCTTTGAATATTGACAGCGGCTCAGACCCTTTTCTTCCATTACCTGCGGAAAGCAGCTCCGTGTCTCTCTTCCCTTCACCAGCAGACAGTGGGACTAACTCTGTTTTCTCCCAACTGGAAAATAATACAAATCATTTTTCTTCACAGATCGAAGGAAATACCAATTCCTCCTTTCTAAAGGGAGGGAATGGTGAGAATGCAGTTTTTCCTTCACAAGTCAGTGTTGCAAATGACTTCAGTGGCACTGGTGCCCAACAGCCTGGACCGGAAAAAGTGAAGAAAGACCGCGGGCGGGGCCCAAATGGGAAGGAAAGAAAACCCAAGCACAACAAAAGGGCTAAATGGCCAGCAATCATCAGAGATGGGAAATTTATCTGTAGCAGGTGTTACAGGGCTTTCACCAACCCCAGATCTCTGGGTGGACACTTGTCTAAGCGATCTTACTGTAAACCACTGGATGGGGCAGAAATTGCTCAAGAACTTCTACAGAATAATGGGCAGCCTTCTCTTCTCGCCAGCATGATTCTCTCCACAAATGCAGTAAACTTGCAGCAGCCACAACAGTCTGCATTCAGTCCAGAAGCATGTTTTAAAGATCCGTCATTCCTGCAACTTCTTGCTGCTGAAAACCGCTCCTCAACATTTTTACCAAATACGTTTCCTCGGACTGGTGTGACTAGCTTTAATACAAGTGTTAGTCAGGAGGGGAGCGAAATCATCAAGCAGGCTTTGGAAACGGCTGGCATCCCCAGTACGTTTGAGGGCGCCGACGCGCTCCCTCACGTCCCCACAGGCTGTGTCTCCGACGCAGCACAGGTGAACGCGACAGTGATGCCAAACCCACCTGTGCCAACCCTGCTGCAGACCGTGTGCCACCCGAGCCCCCTGCTGACAGGCCAGAACGGGACCCCAAACCCCAAAGCCTCCTCCATGGAGGAGTGCAGCAGTTTGCCTGTTTTCCCAACAAACGACTTACTACTGAAGACTGTTGAAAATGGTTTGTGTTCTGGTTCATTCCCTAATTCTAGCGGGCCATCACAAAATTTTACCGGTAGCAGTTCACGTGTTTCAGTTATAAGTGGTCCTCAGAACACAAGGTCTAGTCATTTAAATAAGAAGGGAAACAGTGCTTCTAAGAGAAGAAAGAAAGTTACTCCTCCACTAATTGCCCCTAATACTCCCCAAAACTTGGTAACAAGTGACTTGACAGCAATGGGACTTATAGCAAAGAGCATTGAGATACCAACTACTAACCTTCATTCCACTGTAATTCCCAATTGTGAACCTCAGGGTTTGGTGGAAAATCTAACACAGAAATTAAATAATGTTGACAATCAGTTGTTTATGACTGATGTGAAAGAAAACTTCAAAACCAGTCTTGAGTCCCATACAGTGTTAGCTCCTTTAACATTAAAAACTGAAAATGGTGATTCCCAAATGATGGCTTTGAATTCATGCACACCTTCAATAAATTCTGATTTGCAGATCTCTGAAGACAATGTCATACAAAACTTTGAAAAGACTCTTGAAATTATTAAAAGTGCTATGAATTCTCAAATACTTGAGGTAAAAAATGGATCTCAGGGTATTGGTGAAACATCACAGAATGCTCAAATAAATTATAACATTCAGCTTCCTTCAGTAAACACTGCACAAAATAACAAGTTATCTGAGTCGCCTCAGTTTCCCTCCTTCACAGGTGTCATGCCGACAAAAGCTAGCATTCCTCAGTCTGACGTGCTGCATAAGGAGGACCAAATGCAGGAGATCTTAGAAGGCTTACAGAAATTAAAGTTAGAGAATGACCTGTCCACTCCAGCACCGCACTGTGCACTGATAAATACATCAGTGACACTGACTCCCACTCCTGTGAGATCAGTTGCAAATGTCACAGTTGTTCAGCCCGTGTCTGAAACTGTAAGCAGCATCCAGTTTAATGACAGAGTTAGTAAACCCTTCGTGTGTCAGAGCCAAGGGTGTAATTACAGTGCGATGACGAAAGATGCGCTGTTTAAGCACTACGGGAAAATTCATCAGTACACGCCGGAGATGATTCTTGAAATTAAGAAGAATCAGCTCAAGTTTGCTCCTTTTAAATGTGTAGTACCTACATGTACGAAGACGTTTACAAGAAACTCTAATCTTCGGGCACACTGTCAGTTGGTACATCATTTTACAACAGAAGAAATGGTCAAATTAAAAATAAAAAGACCTTATGGAAGAAAATCTCAGAGTGAAAATTCATCAGCCCCACGAATTACGCAAGTAAAAAGACAGCTAGCTCTGACAGAGGAAAATAAAAGGGAATTCCAGCCCGCTTTAGAATTGGGAGCAATGAAAGAAAACACCCTCAGTAGTATAGCAGTGATCCCAGAAAAACAACTTCTAGAAAAAAAAAGTCCTGAAAAAACAGAAAGTTCTTCTCAAGTGATTGCAATTACTTCAGAACAATGTAATACAAATCCTCTCGCAAATGTGCAAACCAAAGGACGGAAAGTTCGGAGACACAAAAAGGAAAAGGAGGAGAGGAAACGCAAGAAGCCAGTTTCTCAGGCTCCTGAGTTTCCCACGAGATACAGTCCCTACAGGCCTTACCGCTGTGTTCACCAGGGTTGCTTTGCTGCTTTCACGATACAGCAGAACCTAATTCTGCATTACCAGGCTGTGCACAAATCAGATCTGCCTGCATTTTCTGCAGAGGCTGAAGAAGAGAGTGAAGCTGGTAAAGAGAGCGAAGAAATTGAGACGAAACAAACTGTGAAAGAATTTCGGTGTCAGGTGAGTGACTGTTCCCGAATTTTCCAAGCAATTACTGGCCTAATACAACACTACATGAAGCTTCACGAGATGTCACCTGAAGAAATTGAAAGTATGACCGCTTCTGTGGATGTTGGGAAATTTCCATGTGATCAGTCAGAGTGTAAATCTTCATTTACAACATATTTGAACTATGTTGTTCATCTTGAGGCAGATCATGGAATCGGGGCCAGGGGAAGTAAAACTGAAGAAGATGGCATATACAAATGTGACTGTGAAGGCTGTGACCGAATATATGCAACCCGGTCTAATCTCCTCCGGCACATTTTTAACAAGCATAATGACAAACATAAAGCTCATCTCATCCGGCCGCGAAGATTAACGCCTGGTCAGGAAAATATATCAAGCAAAGCAAACCAAGAGAAGACAAAGTCTAAACACCAGGGGACAAAATACAGATCTGGAAGGGAAGGAGTCAGAATGCCTAAGACCAAACGAAAGAAAAAAAGCAATGTGGAAAACAAGACTGCAAAGATTGTGCAGATTGAAGAAAATAAGCCTTACTCTCTGAAACGTGGAAAGCACGTATATTCTATAAAGGCTAGAAATGATGCCTTGTCTGAGTGTACGAGCAGATTTGTCACCCAGTATCCATGTATGATAAAGGGGTGTACATCAGTTGTTACAAGTGAAAGCAATATAATCAGACATTATAAATGCCATAAGTTATCTAAGGCATTTACATCACAACACCGCAATCTCCTCATTGTCTTCAAACAGTGTTGCAGCTCACAATTAAAGGAAACTTCTGAGCAAGAAGTTGAAAAGACTGGTGTGAAGGATTCTGACACAGGTGTATCAGAGAGCAATGATAATGCAAGAATAGCTGTAGTTCCACAGAAGGAAGTTGTGAAAAATGAAAAAGATGAAGTGGATGAACTAACAGAATTATTTATTACCAAATTAATAAATGAAGACAACACAAGTACGGAGACCCAGCCTCAGACCTCTTCAAATGTAAGTAATGATTTTAAGGAAAATAACCCCTCCCAGTCAGAAAAACAAAAAACAAGTAATTTGAAGAGAGTTAATAAAGAAAAAAATGTCTCCCAAAATAAAAAGAGAAGAGTTGAAAGGGCTGAGCCAGCCTCATCAGTTGAACTAGGTAGTGCACAGAAGGAAGAAGAGACTGCTGTCGCCATTCAAACCTCTGAGGAGCGCCCTGCGTCGTTCGACTGGAGCTCATTTAAACCAATGGGGTTTGAGGCATCCTTCCTCAAATTCCTGGAGGAGTCTGCAGTGAAACAGAAGAGAAACACCGACAAGGATCATCCCAGTAGTGGGAGTAAAAAAGGATCCCATTCAAATTCAAGGAGAAATGTCGACAAGACTGCTGTGACTAGCGGAAATCATATATGTTCTTGTAAAGAAAGTGAAACTTTTGTACAGTTTGCCAATCCAACACAGCTTCAGTGCAGTGAGAATGTAAAAATTGTTCTAGACAAGACTCTGAAAGATTGCACTGAGCTTGTCTTAAAGCAGCTTCAGGAAATGAAACCTACCGTCAGTCTGAAAAAACTTGAAGTACATTCAAATGATCCAGATGTGTCTGTTGTGAAAGACATCAGTGTGGGCAAAGCTACAGGGAGAGGGCAGTACTGATAACTGATGTGCTATAAATACATCATTTACAGTTTTGTTTTAAATAGGAAGCCATCAAGCATGCTAAAATTGTGACACTTTTTCGTTATTTTTTGTTGTTGCTGACATGAATTAACCTGGCCAAAAAAGAAAAAAAAAAAAAAACATGACATTTTGTCATGTAAAACTTTTTTTTATCCCTATGGGACTTGAGGAACAGAATCTATACTTCAGTTACTGTAAATAGTTGAGCTAAACCTCATATTTCTATCAGCCAGTTGCCCTTTTCATGAACTAAACTGAGTTATCTGTGTGATCGATTTGTCTCACCAGGTCACTGCTCATGTGTAACAGTACTCTGTGTTTGTAGATACCTTTTTTTGTATATATTTATTATTGTAAATCATTTGCTGCCACCAGCAGTGTGTAAGTCTAAACTATTAAATGACACATTTATATTTGGAATTTTAATTTTTAACCAAGTGATCAAGTTTTTAAAACTGTTCTTTTATTGTTTTAAGAATTTTTTGAACTAAAAACTAGAAACTCTGCCATAGTTCATTGATTTTTTTACATAAAACATTTATTTACAAGATGATCTCCAAAAAAAATTTACTTTTCACAAAGTAGGCACATTATATCCACAACCTGCTCTGCTTTGTAAATTTACCTTCCAGGATTTTTTGGGTGGTATACATGTGAAATTAAAGCAGATTCTTTAGGAATTTCCTAGAGCTACATTTTTTTTTTTGAAGCTTTTAATTGGATATAGTTACTATGATTCCATGAAATATAATGGAAATGTGAATAAAGGATTTCCTACATCAAAGATTTTAAACATTTCGTATTTTAAAAAAATAATCCTTTGTGAATGTGATAGAAACTAGTAGTGTGGAGCAGTGTAAATATTTGAGGTGGTGATTTGTGAAGTAGCCCAGTATTGCCTTAAATAAAATCACATTTCATTTCTTGTTTTATACATGTGATCTTATAAAGGTTTTGTTCCCCCACCCCATTTTCTGAGATTTATAGATTGGTGTATAGCTTTAAACTGTATAAACTTTTGTGGAAAGATTTTTTTAAACATTTTTATAAATCTTAAAATTGGTATCATCGAAGTGAGCCCATCTTGTGTTTATGAAATGCAAGAGTTCCTTAAACATTTATAATTACACAGATAAAACACTTTCTGTAAGGAAGTTGGATGTTTTGATTTTACTGTTTATAGATGTTAGATTGTACAGATTTGTCTGTATTTTCCTGCCATATCTAATGATACTTTTTTCATTAGATTGGTCTTCCAGAGCAGTATTAGTTGTTATAATTGATTATTTTGATTATTCAGTATATAGTTAGCTCTTATAGTTTAGCTTTATTCACCATATTTATACTGTGGATTTACGGCCAGAGATAGAGGTTATTTCAGGAGAGTTTATGAACCTTCCTTTGAAGTCCAACTAAAATCAGTACTGGAAACAAAAGAAAACATCCTTTCAGATTCACTTTTGTTTCTGTTTGCCATGAATAGTAGCATTGATTTTTGACTTTGTTTGTTATAAACCAGTTACATTCACAATATTATTTGCCTGAGATATTGATGATATTGTGATATGAAAATGTGTATATTCCCTGTGCAACATCAGACTTGCAGGAAAAATGAAGCACTTAATATTAACTGAAATTGCTGGTACTCTGAATAAATAAGCATGGTCAAGGAGTGAATTATTTTCTTTTGGGAAATATTTTTTTAAGTTTTATTATTAAAGTACTATAGTTTTATTTTTAGGGCCGAATGGGGTATATGGAATAGTTGGTTTCACCTCCTCAAGGTTTATTACCAATATGCATAAAACTTGACACATTAAAATCTCTACCCTTTGGTAAGCCCACTGTTATTTATTAAAATAAAAATTGTTCTTATGGGTGATTAATACATGTTTTTTTTCTAAATTAATAGTAACTTAACTTTGAATAATTTTAATATTAAATTTTTGTCAACAGTTGATGTTTCCTACAGTTTTCTTAGAAGTTGACCTAACTCTTAAAGGTAGGAATTTGGCAAACTGCTCTATAGTACAGCAGCAGATAGGTTTATTTCTGATGAATCTAGTGATGAGCCTGTTAAGGGAAAATGCCAATGTATTGGGGCTTTTCTTTTGCTTATTAGCTTAAGAAAATTAACCACTAGAGGTTTCTGTAATTGTTCTCCTACGTGTCGGGGGGGGGGGGGGGGATTTGCCAACATTGAGTTAATTTTTTTTATATTCCTGGTACTGGATGCTAAAAGTAATTATGGAATAGTGGGCTTTTTAGCATGGAACAGAAAAATCAAATTATGGTATAAAATAAATGATGAATTTATAGAACAACAGCATGTTGGTAAAATTTGATACGGAATGTAATGCCTAAGTATTAAAAAAAGAATCAAAAAGTATATATTTTTCATGGTATACTTTTCCTCAATCCCTTTGAGATATTTTCTTCCCACAGTGTAAATTTGCCTAAGGTTTCATCATTTGAAAAGTGGATTTTTTTCCCCCTCTTCTAAACCCAGAGAATTTGAATCTTACCAGTCAGAACATGTTATTCAAAATACATCAAGTTAAGTGAAATGTAACATTTTGAGAATTTTTCAGCAATGTCAAATTGAGTTAGCATAAGTAAATTATTTTTTTAAACTGCTGGACAGAGAGTTTAACAAGGCAAATTGTGATCAGGTAAGCAAACACGGTTGCTGTAGCTGTTAAAACTACATAAAGGCTGGAGATGTTAAGGAGGAAATGCTCTGTTTTCAGGGAGAAAGATAAGTGGCTATGAGTGTTGATAGAAAGATGAGTCTTGAGAGATGAATGAGAGGTCAGCAACTGGTCAGAGGGGAAAGGGACTTCCCGGCTGTAGGTGGGGAGCGGCATAATGCCGTGTTTGCAGCACTTGCAGTATTAAGGTGGGCAGTGCGGGAAGATAGGGAGCTGGAGAAGCTGAACCCAAGAGGCAGATGGACCAGATCCTGAAGGTTCTCGTATGCCATTGTTATCTTCACCGTGTTTTGATTTTTAAGTGCTTACTGAATGCATTTATGTTGAACAATCTAATCAGGTACCACTTGAAGAAAAGCAGTCGGCACAGTATGGAGGATAGGTCGGATAAGTTGGAAGTTAAAAGTTGGGAAACTTGAAATAGTTGAGGCAAAAATTAGTGGGTAGTGTGTGTGATGTCAGTGGGTGGGAAGGTGAAGGCAGTGATCAGAGAAGTTTTCTAAACTGTATTAGATCTCCCTTTAAAGAACCCACTGTGTCTTAACATGTGGAACTTCTTTTGTACAGAAGACATGTTACATGTTAACAATGGGAATTTTTCAAACTTCAATGACAGTGAAATATAAGATTGACTATAGTTTCCTATGCTATACAGTAAAACTTTGTTGCATATCTATTTTTTAATTAAAAACCTAACATTCTATTCATAGTCTAGTGGAATCAAAATGTCATAATTTTTTTCGGCAAAAATTTGTTATTTTCCTAATATATATAATGCATTTTTATATATATGTATACAAAAGCTTTCCTACTATACTTGATAAAGACTTGAGAAAGATCATAAAAAACAAGAGTTGGAAAACAAACTAAGTGAAATAGGAGCACTGAATCTGAAACAGAAGAAGTGAAACATACTAGATAAAAGTAAAAGATCATTGTGTGGTCCAGTGGTTTTTAACCATGACTGCTCATGAGAAACATCTGGAGCTCTGGAGAAAAAAGCAATGCCTGAGCATTTGTATTTTTCAAAAAATGTCAAGATAATTCCGATATGCATCTGGATTTTAAAAGGTGATTACAGGTTTTCCTCTTATACCCTAGTTTTTGGTGAAAGTGTGCTGTGGTTAGTCGCTCAGTCGTGTTTGACTCTTTGCAACCCCATGGACTGTAGCCCGCCAGGCTCCCCTGTCCATGGGATTCTCCAGGCAAGAACTCTGGAGTGGGTTGCCACGCCCTCCTCCAGGGGATCTTCCCAACCCAGGGATGGAACCCAGGTCTCCTGCACTGTAGGCAAGTTTGTTACCATTTGAGCCACCACGGAACCATTTCGGTGAAAATAGAGTTTTATTCTTTTTCTGTTGACCAATCATACAATGGTATTAAGTGAGTAATAGTTACATAATTCACTAGAGTAAAAGACGTTTATCAGTTTCACAATCAATAGCCAGACAAAAAAGATAATTGTAAGCCATAATGGGAACATGATTAACTTAGTAATATGAAATGGTCACATATAGTTTGGAAAGTCTCAAACAGTCATGTGGTAAGTGGAAGTGCATACAGGCAGATGTTTTCATCCACCCAGCCGGTCTGTGTCCTTTGGTTGATGCATTTAATCCATTTGCATCTAAGGTAATTATCCGTATGTATGATCCTACTACCGTTCTCTCAATTATTTTGGGTTTACTTTCTGTAGCTCTTTTCCTTCTCTTGTGTTTCCTGCCTGCCTAGAGAAGTTCCTTTAGCTTCTGTTGTAAAGCTGGTTTGGTGGTGCTGAACTCTCTTAACATGTGCTTGTCTGGAAGGCTTTTGATTTCTTTGCCAAACCTGAAGGAGAGTCTTGGCTGGGTAGAATATTCTTGACTGGAGGGTCTTCCTTTTCTTCACTTTAAGTATGAATATATCATGCCATTCCCTTCTGGCTTGTAGAGTTTCTGTTGAAAAATCAGCTGATAGCCTGATGGGAGTTCCCTTGTATATCATTTGTCATTTCTCCCTTGTTTATCATGTGTTGCTTTTGATATTTTATCCGTGTGACTTTTGTCAGCTCGGTTACTGTATGTCTCTGTGTGTTCCTCCTTGGGTCTATCCTGCCTGGGGCTTTGTGCTTCCTGGACTTGGTTGATTATTTCCCTTTCTGTGTTCGGAGAGTTTTCAGCTATGTCTGTCTCTTTGTGACCTCATCAACTGCAGCAACCAGGCTTCCCTGTCCATCACCAACTCCCGGAGCTTGCTCAAACTCATGTCCACTGAGTCGGTGATGCC